TACTGTTGCAGACTTGGGCCCCTGAGTACTGTTGCAGACTTGGGGCTCCTGAGTGCTGTTGCAGACTTGGGCCCCTGAGTACTGTTGCAGACTTGCGGTCTACACTGGCACTGGACTTGGTGCATTCTGGTGTCTGAGTTCTGTCCTTCTCTGACTGGTAGCTCTAGCTTCTGCATGCTTGGCTCCTTCCGGCTGTTTGCAGGTTACCCCCGGCCTGGGCTCAGCCATACTCTGTACCAACACTTTAGGCAAAGTGGGGAGAGAGAAGAGTGGCCTTACGTCTGCTGGCCCCACGAGCTGAGAACAAGTGGCTCCTTCCAGAGCTCCCTGGCCTTCTCTCTGAACTTCACACCTAATGATTGTCTAGTTTTTCTTGAGTCCAGTGTCACAAACATGTGAGGGTGGTTGTGCATTCCAGTGTTTTCATTAGTATCTCTCAGAAACACTGATCTCCTTCACATTTGTTTGCAAGCCTTTCCTCTCCTTCATCTGTCTTCTCATCTTCTCCTTTTCCTTCCCTGCCCCAGTCTCGTCCGCTCCTCTGACATGTGCTCAATTTGGATTGTTCTGCCTCTCCACTTGCTTGTTTCTGCCAGGTTTGCCTACATGCGCCTCAGTATCCACTTGTCGGGTGCAGACAGGTCACTCTCTGTCCCTGGTGAGTGACTAGGATCGCAGTTGTTGTCTGGTTTGTGCCCAGGGTGACAGAATTGATGGGCCCGTAGACTGACATTCATAAGCCAGAGCTACCAAGCGTTGCAAAAACAGTCTTGTTTTTGCCAAGCAAGGTGAGCAAATATAGGCCAGAGCTTAAACATCCACCGGGAGTTATTTCTGAAGTGATTGCCTCTAAATGAGAAGCATTGGAAACCTCACGGCTCTCTTGACAAGTAAATTCCACAGTCGTGTGTTTTGCTGGTGTCTGCTGATTAATTACAGCGCTGTGACACATGAAAGCCCTGGTGGTTGGTTTAGTGCAGCTGTGTAGGAAAGAAAGCAAGGCCCGGTGACTTTGCCAGCTCTTTCGGGAGAGTGGGGATCAAGGCCGAGGGAGGTATTTTTCCCTCTGGCAGTCACCGCATAGGAACAGAAGCCCCAGCCAGCCCAGTTCTCCAGGCTCCATGCCGGGTGGTTTGGTCCCTGCAGGCTGTGGTGAGGGAACAGCATCTAGCCTGGTATGTCTGAAAGAACAGGCCCTTTGTCAGTGAGAAAGTGTCTCAGTGTTCACACAGGGTGAGGAGTGCACACTCCTGCGGGCTCCTGCTTCAGAGAAGCCGCACTGGGACAGTGGCCTACACCTGTAATTCTGTCAGGAAGCAGAGGCAGGAGGATCGGATCCTGTGCAACGCCAGCCACCCTCAGCTACCTAGAGAGTTTGAGACAGCCTGGACTACTTGAGTTCTTATCTCAGGCGGAGCGGGTAGATAATCCCGGCTAGTGACTCATGCCTATAATCCCAGCACTTGGAAGACTGAGGCCCAGACCCAGAGATGGCACTCTGGGTAAATTACTTACATGTGGACTTATCCCAAGAGCTCACATAAAGCCAGAGGTGGCAGCTCATGGGTCTGTAATCCCAGCACTCATGGCAGAGGATAAAACAGAAAAGAAATAAAGACTAAAATAGATTTTAAAGTTCTTCATGTGTTTCTTGGTACTTTGTTTCCACCGTCGTCCTCATCTTATGTAGATAATGGAGCCGATCAAAGGAGTGGTCTGCCGTGAGTGAGTCCTTCAGGTCAGAGAACCTTATCTACCCTCTGTCTCATTCATTCTTCCCCAAAGATTTATGCTCCTCACAGAGGCAATGTGGGCCATTGCTGAGGAGGAGTCCACACACATTTGCCCATGGTCTGGTTTGCCTGTGTGGTGAAACAGGGCCACCATCCTGAATATAAACACTAGAGAGCCTCCGGGATCTGCCCTGTCAGCTTTTAATTCTGGTATATAATTGCCATGTACGTGTCAAGAGCGTGCACCCCATCTGATTGCTGTCCCTTCCCCTGTCTGCCAAGGGAAAGTCTGAGAGATCTGTTACAGACACCACTTCCCGTCCACACAGGCGTGCTGTGGTGTGCCTGCCTCGTTAGCCCACACTGTCGTAATGAACCCAGACTTACGTCTAAACCACTTAGACTCACAGTTCCTTCCTACACGAAGACTTGGAGTTTAGTTTCATGCAAGGCTGCTGGCATAACGATAATTGCTCTTCTTCACTCAACTCAGTGTCTAGGTTGTTTCTAACTAAAGCTCTTGAGCAGATGATTGTGTGATCACCATGCTCCCGATCTGGGGAATTGTGGGAAAGACCCAGAGCACAGGTTTGGCTGGGCCCTGGACTTCTTACCACTGCTGTACCCTCCCCACCTTACAGCTTGCAGCATGCTTCCCTGTGCAGACCAGAGCCACATTCTGTGGGTGTCTGTTTCCTTTGAGGGAACTATTTTGAGAAAATCTAAAAGAGAGGACCTGAGCATTTATGAAAAGCATTTTCACAGCAAAGTATTGCCTTTTCTCTTTTCCGGTTCAGGTTTTTCATTTGTTACAAGCCTACGTTACAGACTCCAGACACAGAACCACTGCAGATTTTCAGCAGGAGCTGAGTGATGTCACTGCTTGTACCAAAGCCAAACTCTGGCTAGCCATGAGGTATGTAAAAGACCCACGTGAGGAGGTGTCACCGGGTTAGCAGTGTGTTCAAGAATTGCTGTTTCTAGTTGTGAGGAGTTTTAAGTTATTCACATAAGTTTCTCAGACTTACTAGAATATTTTAGACCCTTGTGTTGTGGTAAAGAAAATACTTTTTCCTCTTTTTTTTTGGGGGGGGGGGGCGGTGGTTTTCGAGACAGGGTTTCTCTGTGTAACAGTCCTGGCTGCCCTGGAACTGGCCTGGAACTCACAGAGATCCGCCTGCCTCTGCCTCCCAAGTGCTGGGATTGAAGGCGTGCGCCACCACCGCCCGGCTAAGAACAACTTTCTTGACAGTTTTTCTATAATTGCTGAGTGATGGGGTTGGAGGTGTGATAAGATTCAACAGTCCGAAATTTCTTACCCTTACCAGGTACCTGTGTAGACATTGTAACTACAAATGCCAGCAGTTGACTGGTCTGCATTGTACAAACCCTTCGGAGCCACGGCAGCTTACTGGTTAAAGACCCTTGGGTGACTTGAGCAGGCACTGAACGGGACTTGACCGGGAAAGGGAAATCAAAGTTGCCATGGTTAGGTGCAGGGAAGGATAGCATATGTAAGCAAAGCAGAGTAGGCACTTGGCTTTTTCTTCTCTTTTCTTTTATCTTTCTGTTACCAGTATTTATTCTGGAACTTAGAGTATAAAGGCGTGAAAAGAATTTGTTATATGTAGAGAATAGTCTTTCTAACACCATGTTCAAAGTCTTGGTTTAGGTCCCCAGCTCCTGTAAGACTGTCCCTGCCAGGGCCTCTGAGTGAGCTGGCTCCGGCAAAGGCAGTAAGGAAGAGGACAGTGTGCCCCTTACCACAGCCCACGCCATAGCATGCTCCCTCCGACTGTGAGTTGGTGCTTTGGTGTCTAAAGGGTAGCAGCCACCCTTTTTGTTTGGTAAATGCTGTGCTTCTGTTTACTTCTGTTAGAATCCCCACCCTGTATGGGAAGTCAACTAATGGGCATGTGAGGGTCCCAGTCACCCTAACGAAGCAAAGCACTGGTGAGCCACAGGCCACCATCAGTCAGCCTGTGGATCTGCAGACAGATGCAAAGAAAAGAGCTAGACCTGGCTCCTAGAAGGTTGGAAAGATGGTAGACCTTGTGTTTCCACTCAGGGTTTTAGATATGGTAACAACAAGTGTCGTGATACAAATGTATCACCTTGCAGTATAGGCATGACCCAGAGGAGAGCTGGGGGAGGGTCGATAGCAGGCCCACTCAGAGATGGTAGTTTTGCCAAATGGCAAGGCAGGGAGAATCCCAGGCTTAGGTAATAGCGTAGATAGAAAGGTGGCCATGTGAGATGGTGGGATGACCCTCCATGAGGCAGAGAAAATTACACAGGCACACTGAAAGCTCCTGAAGGAAACCTTTTTGTGAAGGGGAGTCAGTGGTGGGTGTCCATGGGGGTGTGTATGGTGGTCGGGAGTCTGATGACTGTCTCAGGTAATACTTAAAACTGTGAGCAGGGGCACTGGCGCGTCTCTGTCTGAAGTGCCAGTACAGCTATGGAGGCTGCTAAGTAGTTTCTCTAAGCCAATACCGGTTACCTTCTATGCAGCCCTGGTGCCCTCTAAGATACACTTCCTGGGAGAACAGAGACTTGGGGTCACATCTGTCCCTTAGCTTTTCACCAAGTAACAACAGGTCAGGTCTTCCTCGCTGTTATTTCTGGGGGTCAGGAAGTGGAGGTTCTCCAGAAGTCACTCTGCTGAAACCCTTTTCCAGCCATAACTTCTCCAAGTAGCAAGCCTTGGTTCTTGAGCTGCTGTAAAGGAGGAGTCCTACCCTTTTGCTTAGGCTCATTGGAAATTGTCGCCTGCCTGCTTCCTGAGTCCATGCCTTCTTGTTGCATGAGAAGGAAGATGGAGGGACAGGCTAGCCCTTGATGACTTGAGTTTGCTCAGTGCCTCAAGACAGCTGGTGACGTGGTATCAACCCACCTGCCTTGGCAGCATCCCCATGGTCCCTGTCGCTGTTGTCCAGTCAACCTGCTCAGTGTTAGCATCCCTTCCAACCTCCTGAGTTTTCTGCCCATCTCCGTAGCCTACAAAGTGAAGCCATGAATCACATGGCCTTGCTGGGTTTCTACCTCCTTGCCCAGAGTGCAGGACAGCCACTTTTCTGTCTCCAAGACAGTCAACTCTCTATTATCCAAGTGTGAACTTTCCACTCAGTGGGTGGTCTGTGGATGGTTCCTAACACCAGACCTCCTCTTATTCCCCAACATACTTTTTTACAAAGATTAATCAGGGTGTGTTCAGAGCCTAGAATAGAGTTTGGAAGGAAATCCTGCTGCTAAAGCACAGTACATTCCAGAGCTTTGCACGAGCTGTTCTGTATTATCATTGAGGAGTGCCCACAGGCTCTGAGTTGGAGACCATAGAACTCCATGTAGGTAATGAAACCTTCACCTGCCCCATGCCTACCTTGTCTGGGAGGGCCTCTTGCTGTGGGAGGTATTTCTCTATACCAGTTAACTGCATGCTCAGGTGAGCCCACTTGGGGTCATGGCAGTCCCCTCAAAGCAGATCCTTTCTCCCCTGCCTCTGCCATGGAGATGTCACAGTGCAGAGTAGTCCAAATCCGACTGCTGAAGAGGCTCATTTGCACATGAAAGATAAATGTGCCTCGGGCTCACTGAGGCCTCTCTGTATCTTTCTCTTGTAACCTGTGAAAAATCACTGTTGATGGGCAAAGAAAATGTTGGTTTAAGTTCTAGCAGCAACACCTTCTTCTTCGGAAGTTCATTTGATCATTGAGTTCATTCCGTCCAATAAGCACGAGAATTCTAGGGTGTGTGCCAGTTACTTAACCTTTTGTTCCAGAAGGTTCTAAAACAGTTTATCGGAGCTATGGATAATCAATTGAATTTTTAAATTTGCAGTCTAAAATTGAGAGCACATAAAGACTTTTGTTTATATTCATGTTTTGATTTTGCAAGATTAATAAGAATTTATTTCTATGAGCTGGTTGAGCAGTACACATGGGGTTGTTGGGGGAATTTTAGGTGATAAATGGCCAGCTGGCAATGTGGCTTGAATAAAGGACTAGGCTTTTTCTCTTATAGGCTGCTTTTCATTCCAAGATGTCAGAGCCTTTATGGAAATCAGCTCATTAAGCCTTCGTGTCTCCTCCTTCTCCCTTTTCCTTGGCTAGCCTCCTCAGCCAGTTCACCGTCTTTCTCTTGGTGGGAAGGAGGCAGTTACCAACTCCTGGCAGAAAACTCACCCAACCCAGGTCAGGGAGCAAGTGAGCATTAGAGTTAGCCTCTGGCCTGGAAAGGTTGTCTAGAGGTGCCCCCGAGGATGCAGCCTCGTCCCCAAGGGTGGCCCTGCCTGCTGCCTTGCTATCTTCAGGCTCCAGCTCTGCTGCCCTGGCAGACTCACAGCCCTGCCCACACAGGAAGGACTTGGAAAAGCTCTTTCAGCAGGGCTAAGAAGAGGAAGAGGCTTATTTATGTTGGTTATAGTTTGGGATTACAGTTATATTGGGCTTCAGATTTTTCAGAAGTGGTTTGTTACCTGTGCTTCTGTCAGTCATAAAAGAGTAAATGTGTGTTAGATGTTCCTTTTAGAAAACTTGAGGAAATAAGCCATGTGTGCTGGTACACATCTGTTAATCCTAGTACTTAGGTAGGATCTGAGACAAGAGGATGGTTGCAGATTTCAGGCCAGTCTGAGCTACACCGTGAAACTTTTTCAAGAAACAAAAAAAAAAAAACAAAACTAAAAAAACTAAAATCAAAAGATGAGGAAAACTTGGTGAGCTGTGCATACATTAGACTCAGTAGGGTGGATGATATGATGGTCAAAAGGAAATATATTTTCTACTAAACTTCTTTCATGTTTTTCCTCAGCTATCAAATCAAGGACAAATAAATAGACTAGCACAAATTAGAAAAAGACTATAGAAAAGAAATCTACTTTTACCACAGTCCAATGGAAACCACTGTTATTGGTTAACAGTTTTATGTAGTTACTTCATAGTTTTTCTTTATTAAGTATAAAAGTTACAGCTTCCTTCTTTCACTTGATGTTATGGAAGTATTTGCTATTATTATTATTTAAAACTTTTTATGTCTGCTGCAGAAAAGAGTATCACACTTAAAATTTAAAAATTAAAAATAGAATCTAAGTCTGTATACACAGAGAGAGAGAGAGAGAGAGAGAGAGAGAGCAAAGACTTAGATAGTTGTACAACCATGCTCATAGCAGCATTATTTCTGGTAGCTAGAACACAGAAGCAGCCATGTTTGCTGCTGGCAGTATAAGAAAAATATGATATATGCATGCACTCTACCTTAAAAGAAAATTTCCCGGACCCCGGTGCTAGGGATTGAACCCAGGACTTTGCACATACTAGGCCAGAGTTCTACCACACAGCTATATTCCAGCCAGCAAGGAAGTCTGACACATGCTACAACATGGAGGTGCCTTGAGAATGGTAAGCTGAGTAGTTGAGGTCCTAGACACAGACAGTAGAATGGCCTTGGCAGCATATGACAGAGGAGAGAGTTGAGTGTTGCTGTTTAATGGGCATGAAGTTTAGTTTTACAAGTTGGAATTCTGGGGTTAAGGCAGTAACTTTATACTTAAAACATTGGAAATAGCAAATGCTTCAAACAGAAATCTCTCTATACTGTCAACGTCCTCAAGGTCATTGGTGTTTTAATTTATGTTGTTGTCTTCCTAGCTTTACCACCACCCAGCTTCTGTTTTGTTTTTCAAGACAGAATGTCTCTGTTTAACAGTCCTGGCTGTCCTGGAACTCCCTTGGTAGACCAGGCTGGCCTTGAACTCACAGAGATCTACCGAGCTCTGCGTCCTCGCCCCCCCCCCCTTCTCCCCAGTGCTGGGATTAAAGGCACGCGCTACTGCTGCCACCATCCGGCGTCCACCACTCCTCTTTATAAAAAAATATAATTTTGCTTTTTTTTTTAATTAAGGAGAAGGCTTTGATA